ATCGACTTCGATAATGATTGACTTCGAAAGGTTGCAAGACTGAGTGGATTGTGTGGGTCAGGGCCAAGAGACAGCATGCATTGCGTGGGCTGACTGAATTAAGTGGAGGGCAAGTTAGTAGGAGGGAAGAGTAGAGCAGCGGATTCGCCACCTCCTTCTTCAAAGTGCTTTCTCTAGGGGGAACATTCGCCGCTTCTTTGGGTAACACATTTACTCCTCAACAATGCGTCGTATTGTGCAATGCTGTTGAGTTTCTGAGCGGACACCGCGGTCTGAGATGCACGTCGGTTGCACTCTGTCAGCCATTGCTCAGCTTGGCATCGCTCAAACGATGCTAACCTCAAAGTTGGCTTGCACATGCACTTTGTTGAGGGGGCGTCAACACACCCACACGTACTGCCGCCACTTGCAGCATCACTTTGTCACCTCCACCTCCTTTGACGTCAACCGTTTTGCGTTGAGTCACTCGGGTGATTATTTGGAGCAGTCGTACGTAAGCGCCCTTCTTGACGTGCTAGTTACTGCACGGGGGGCACGATGATAAGTGCGCCCAATGCCTTACAAATGCCGCACTCCTCTAACCGAGGTGTCAAATGCGATCAGGTCCTCCTCCTCCTCCTCCTCCTCCTCCTCCTTCTTCTTCTTCTTCTTCTTCGTCTAAGCTCGCTATTGTCCAGGGCCTACGCTCTCATCGCACCTCTTCACATCTGAGAAGGCTAAACAACTCACTGACGAATCAAGCTGGTGGAAATGGTGGCGTTGGACAACAGACGTGAGCAAATCGCCTCTTAGTCTATAGAGAGTAAGAGACAGTGTGAATGGACAAAGCAGACTGTCATTTGAACGATTGCTTAAGTTGAATGAATACTAAAATCGTCGAAGAGTAGTGCCATGATAAAATCGGCAGTTAGTTTATCCAAACAATTTGTTTTTCGCCACATCTTATTGATGTGCCTACCCATCAGCGGATGTCCAAAAATTTGACCAGCAGTAGACACCAAAGCGACCCATAATAGTGACATTTTCCTTTTTTTATGATACTGATTTTATCCGCTCCGATGTGCTGGCAAATGCTGAAATGCATACAATTGTCATCTTGCATTGAACACCAACACCTTTTGGTTTTAAAAATGCTAAGCGTTTGTCGGTCCTCAAAGCACATCTACAAAGCGAATTCTTAGGGAGAAAATTCGCTGTTGTCAGAGGAACTCTGATCTCGCATCAGCTACTTTTGAGCCTCAAAGTGGTCCTGAAAGTGAGAGGAATCTTGATTGAGGCGAATGAGGATAGGCACTCTCCATTGGCTCCTAATGGCAAGGTTGGAGAGGCGTCCCTCATGTTTGAAGCTTTCTCTTGTTTAATGGGATGAGTGTTTTGCCTCCACACCCTCTTTCCCATGGGAAGATTGCAGTTTGAAAGGTGGTACTACTGCCATTGCTGCTGTTTTTTTAGTCAAGTCACGATCTACATTACTGTATTCACTTTTAATTTCTTTTGTTGGCCACTTCTTGCTTAACTATGCAAAAGTCCTAATACTACGGTGACTAAGTCGAGTATGATATTTCGTGCAGTTTGGTTAGCCCCTTCTGAAATTGAAATGTTTTAGAGCGCGGTTGTATCCGTCCAAGGGAGTGGCGCTGGTCAGGGAGTTGGTGAGCATTAATGAAAGTTGACAACTTGGGTGCGGATTTCTAGAATGACTCGTATTTTGGCCCGTGCGACTGGCCACAAATGGCCGGTACGTACGGTTGCGTTCGACTTAAGGGCAGGATTCCAACCTCGGAGACGGAGATGTCCTGCATACACACACGCCTCATATTCTCCTGTCAAGAATGAGTGTCAAAGCTGCCCAATAGTTCCAGAATTGAGGGGCAAGAGATTCTGATGGGATGTCGTGAAAGGCGAGAACTCCTCCCTTTCCCTCGAACTCGGTCTGATCGTATAAGAGGTGGCTCGACTAAATCATTCTGAATTGAGATTTGCAGCTTAACGCGGCCCATGGACAACCAGTCTAACAATGCAAATCTTCTCCCTCAGGAAAGAATGAGGATTTTGCGTGTTTCAGAATTGTAGCTTAAGCATGTTTGCATTTTACTCGATGCTCTTCGTATTTGTCTACCATCCGTTGCGTAAGAAGTGAGCATCGGTTCCTTCTCATTGCGGGGGCATAGCATTGCGATGCGGCTTTATGGAACAGGTACAAGAAAGCGCGAAGTTAACTGACGGTAATTGTCATTTATCATTACAATCCCGTCGCCTTCACAACTCCTAATCGTGCCCCAATTTTGTCAT